CAAGAAATTTGTTATAGCATATTTCCAAGTCATAGAAGTCTAATGATGTTGATGATGACTTGGATAGAAGTTCTTCTAAAAGGTCGCTTGCCATTTTAGTAGTTTCAGTTGTTATTATTGGTAGTTTATAAAATTGTAAAAATTTATTATAGCATGTTTACAAGTTGCAGGATTCTAAAAATGTTAGTCGCAAACTTGTCAGGTTAGTATCTTTTACATAGTCGCTCACCATATACCTGGTTCTCACAGTTTCTAAAGAGCTTGTAGTCTGCCTTGTACGTTGGGTCTGACTGTCGTTATCCCAAGCCTTCAGGTAAATAGGCTTGACCACCTGCCTACTTACGTCATTCTCTTTACTAAATACAATGGGTGTTTCTTTAGTAAAGTGGTGGCTGCATCTATGTTAATTGTAAAAGATATTTTTTTATCATTTCCTCTATACCTCTGTTTTTTTTCCTTTTTATTATTTCTTTTTGTTTTTCTGCTTCTTGATGAGCCCATAGCAGCCAGCCGAGAACTGATGAGAAAAAAGTCTTCTACAAGTGGGAGACTTGGAAGAAGGCCAATTGCTACTGAGGCAAGCTACATTGGCACCTTTAAGGTGTTGATGAGCTCATATTTTGGTTAGACAATATAGGTTAAAATACGAGAATGTAATATTTTTGTTAAAATTCTCAGACTCAAATAAAATAGGGCAGGCAGCCGAATTATCAAAAAATATGTTAATAGTATTTATTATTATTAAATAAATAATAAAAAAATTGTGTAATTATAAAATTAGGTTGAAGAAGTTTTAATTTTAACATATATAGAGAGATATTATAGTTATCAAATAATTTATTTATTATAATATAAATAGCCTATTTAGTAAATATGTAGTATATATTTGCTATAGAAAATATTGTAATATAATTTTTGGTAAACAGATCCAAAATGGGTCTTGTTGAGAAAAAGAAATATCGGAATTGTGGAGTTAGGCAATAGTATTTGAGAAATTGTTTTCAAAAAAATAAGCAACAATATTTGTATTGCAGTATAGTATTTAAATTCTTAAATTTTAGTATACTATATTGCTTAAGTTAAAATTTATATTATAATTAATAATTAATATTTAAAGTTAAAATTAATATTATAAGTATCAAAAGTAATAAAATATAATTTAATATATAATTAATTTATACAGAGATATTAAATAATATAATAAAATAATTAATAATTAAAATATATTTTATTTAAATAATTTAATTTATAAATTTATTATTTTTATTTTAAAGAAGATTAATAATATAGAATTTAAGGATATTCTATAGAATAGGTGGGCAAACTTTGCAAACTGCAATTCTGCTATTTAAAAAATTAATGATACTAATTATTAGCAAAGCTTATTTCTTATATTGCCTACTATTCTATAGAATATCTAAATTAAATATTAATATTATATAATTTTATAAATGATTTTTATTTATTACCAATTATATATATCATTAAGAGCTATTAAATATTTTAAATTAATACTATCTTGTGCTGATAAAAATTGTGTTTTATTTGTTTTATTATTTTCATCATTATTTTCATCATTATCATCATTATTATTATTTTCTATAAGTTCTTTTAAATTATTTCTACAAATGAGTTTACATTATCAAAAATTTCTTTTTTATAATATTGTATACAATATTCATATCTATTATGATTTTCTTTATAACAATTCAAATGATATCTATGTCTACAAATTAAAATAATTTCATTTTCTTCTATAGTTTCAATAAGATCTTTTTACAAAAATCACATTGATTTAATGTAGGTGAAAATGATGAATGATATCTAGCAGGAAGACTTCTAATATCTACTGTTAATTGAAGAGCTGATAATGTAAATTTTTTCTTATTTTTAAAAAATTTAGTTGTTCCAAGATTATTATAAATAGAATGAAAAGTTTCTAATAAAAATATTAATGTTTTTTGAATTAATATATCTAAAGTTGAAGAAGAATATAGATATTTTCGTGTATTTTTATAAAAATTTATAAAAGAATAATTATGATGATTTAATATATATGTTTGTTTTTTTATAGTATTAGCTGAATCCTTTGAAGTTGTATTTGCTCGAATTTTACTATGAATATTTTCAATAAAATAATCATTAAAGTTTACAAGATAAGATTTTAATAATTTACTAAATAGATAATTTATATCTTTCTAATAAAAATAATTAGATAAAAATATCAAAGGTGCTTTGTTATAATTTTTTCTATTCCAGCATAATACAAATATCCAAATTTGAAAAATTGTTTCTATATATTCTTCAAATGATCCAGATCTAAAAATAATAGCATATATATTCAAAGCTGCTAGAATTAAATTATCTAAAAAATTAATAAGCATTCTATATTCTATATCTTTGTATAATTTAGGAAATTTTAAAATAATCATATTATTAATTTTTTTCTAATTTTCACTTGCTAATTCTAAAAGAAGATTGATTTTATAAAGTTTAAGATTTTTGGCTAATTGTTTTTTCTTTAATTCAAAAACAAATTTATATAATTTGTTAAAAAATTTATAATAAATTATTAAAATATGTTGTCTTGTATTTAAAGACACATGTAAAGGTCCTAAAATTGGAATAAAATTTTTAATATTTGTTGAAATAGTAATTTGATAAGTTGGATTATTTTTTTGAAATCTAATTCTTTTTGTAATAAAGTAATAGCTTTTCGAATATATAATTGTCCTGGCTAATCTGCTATAACTGGTAAAATATTTTGATCTAAATATTTATATAATGATGATATTTGTTATCATTAAAAGTGCTTTAATATAATCTTTTGTTGATTTTAATTTAGATTCTTCAATATTAATAATTTAAATATTTTCTATTGATCTTTTATTTTTTCATTCACAAATTGCATCATTATAAATATGAATTGTAAGAAGTTCTATTCGATTAAAATGTTAAAATTTTTAAATAGTTTGATTACTCCAATAAAATTTTCGAGCATTATAGCTTATATCAAAATTTCTATTATATTTTTCAAGTAAATATTTGTTAATTAAACTTGCATCAATATTAAGAGGATTAAAAAATAAAATATTATTAAATGTTGCTAGAATTGATACACAATTTTAATTTTTTTAGTAACACATATAGCTATATAATATACATTTGATAACGATATTGTATTTGATCTTTTATAAGAATAAATTGAATAGTAATTATTAATATTAAAAATATGCATATTATTTTGCTAAATAAATAAATATATTAAATTAATATATTAAAATAAAAATAAAAATTTAAAATAATTATTAAAAGTTTACTTATATTATAAATAAAATAATTAGAAATTTTTGTTGAATGTTTTTTTGCTATTTTTTTTTATAATCATCAATTGTTTTATCCTTTAAATTGTAATACAGACAAATTTGCTTGCATTCATTTTTTTTAAACTCTAATTTTTTAATAAAATCTTAAATATTAATTTTAGCAATATACTTTCTAGTAAAATATATTTTTAAAGATCTACTTTATTAATTTTGTTAAGAAAATTTTTTAAAATTATTAAAAAACTTTTAAT